AATCAGAGGATCATTACACATACAGTTGATCAATAGTCGGAGTGAGTCGGGATAAACTTTAGTATCAGCGTCAACCATAAGACATATTTCGAAAAAGTCCGGAGTTACACCCATGAGATGATGAATTTTACGGAATAGATCATAGTCCAAAGCAGTCATACGATCGTTGTAGGTGACACGACTGAAAAAGTTCATAAGAATCAATTGAGAATCACGTTTACCACGATTACCAGGTTTCGGTTTGCCTTGTTCGGCGGGACCACCACATTTAACGACACAGACAACTGGAATTTTTCGTCCGTCTTTATATGGGTAATAACCAGCGTAGACTTTAGCCATGTTGTGTTGTTTTGAACCGGCGGCGACAGCGACATATGATTGAGGTTGAGGATCTTTGAACTCGGGTACTAATTCCAAAAGGTCGACAGCAATATCGGGAGTACTCTTATCGTTACCATGACCAGTAATAATACCATCACATACCAAGAAAAGCAATTTACGATCATCAGGATAATCAGTTGCCGCCATTGATTCACAAGTGCATCGAAGACCTTCTTCACCTTCCGAATAACAAGTTACCAATAATACAGTGAATAAATCATTGCCGACATCATCCATGCTAATTGTCTTTACAACAGCGCCAGATTCATTACGATGAGCCCAAGGAGCGGCACGAGCACCACCACCGCTACCTCCAACAACTACTTGTGGTGACACTACAGCTTTACTAGATTTCTTTGGTGGCAAGGCGAGACGAGGAGAGATAAACCAATTGAAGACACAGGCCATAAAGAATCGAACCATGACAATACTCAAAATGACCGTCAAGGAAACGTATAAGAAGAGTTGCGAGGTAAAACATCCAATTGTTGCCTTGTCAATGTTTCCGGCGAAATATTTTTGAAGCAAACAATTAACAGAAGCTTTCAATTCTGGACGTCCAAAGAAAAGTCTTGTTGCATCTTTACCACCTTCTTTGTGATCAGTGCCCAAAACTGTTCTGATCACGACATCAACTTTGTCATTTGGCAATACAGGGGTTGCGGCGATGTATGGATCAAGATTAAGCACGTTACCGTCGATAACCAAATAATTTTTAAGGGGATCACTTGCCAATTGTTTCCAATCATAACCAACAAGTTTTGTGGTGTTTTTGATGTTGTAGGCTTGGAATGTCTGATCACTCAATGGACCGGCGTTACATATCGTCTTATTTTGACACAGTTGCATTGTTACAGCAGCAAATTGTTGAATGTCTTTTCCTTGACATGCGGGATTTTTTGAATAATCACGTGCGAACCTATTTGTGATATCTTGGCCAGTTAGTTGTGCAGAAAGTGCATAAAAGTCTACATTAGGCGCAGTTTTTGACTGTGAGATGTCGAATTGCCAACCGAGAATACCCAGTTTTCCACTAGCTGCGATGCACAATAAAAAGAATAAATAATAAAGAAATGATTAATATTGATATATTATTTGATTACGTCATTCAATTTAGATAGCGAATAATTTAATGCTTTACCGTCAGTAGAATTATATCTTAAAAATTTAGTGGGATTATTAGCTGCCGATGGCGGACATAGTACTGAAGAGAAACCGACTGTTAAGAAAGCAACAATTCCACCCATTACGATTGCGATAAAACACAGCGCAATCTTTTCACGCCAAGCTTGTTGTGACCCTTTATCATGGAGACCACCCAGCGAAGAAAGTAAGGAACCTGGCGCCCAAAAAGTAACGACACGAGAGAACACTACCCATGGGTCCCAAGATGAACTCTCTTTAGCTGTAAGTAGTGGTACGGCTGGTTGATAACGTTCAGGCCTGCTGAGAGTTTTGCCACGATTAAGTGTGGCCCCTCGGTTTGGAGGGTAACCCGTTTCCATTTAAGATTATAAAATGTGGTTTTAGTTGTGTGTGTTTACTGCTCTTTCCTCGGGTTTGTATGTTAATAAAATTATTATTTTTGCTGTTATTGTGGCTGCTTTAGCAGTTATTTGTGTTTGCCAAAGAAAATAAAGATAAAAAGTAGTAGTGATAATACAATGTCGAGTTGTAGAGAGTATGTGTGTGAAGGGATATGCAACAGTAACAATAATATAATAAAATTGCTTTTAAAAAAAGTCCGATTTTCTTATTATTACTATTGTAATTTATGAAAGAGTGAGTTTTTAAGAGAAAGGAAAAGATGGAGGAGGAATGGGACACAATAGCGTGATGGGTGATGGGTGATGTGAGGCAAAGGAAAGAAAGTTAGAAGCTGAGGGGAAAGGGGCTTCTTGTTGATGGTTAAAAAAAAAAGAAACAGGATTTTTCACTTTATATAATTAAATATTACTGTTATTGTATACTAAATAATATGATGATTTAACCAAACTAAGAATTATAATCTATTATATAGTACAAGAGAATTCTTTTTTGGTATGGTATAATGCGGGTCTAAAAAATCGGTCGTAGTCGTCGTAAGAAAAGCTTTTACACAGCCGTTATTTCTTGTTTCCTATCTGTTTCTAATAATAAAAACTACCCTTTTTAGTATTTTCTTTAATCAGGAATTGTTTGTTTATTTTCGTCGTTGTTATTATTAAAATTGTCCTTTGATTTTTAATAAATTATATATAATCTATATATTTTTCTATTCACAAATATAGGAAGTAGTGTGATGAGAGGGAGTGTAAGAACGAGGGAGGGTAGGGAAAAAAGTCGAGATGGAAAGGAAGGAAAATGAAGGGGATATTTTTTTATTACAAGCCAACAAAAAAAACAACAAACAAGTGAGATAGTCTATACACGAACACTTGATTTGGAGTTTTTTTTTTGGATGGAAATTTGAAGGAAAGTATAATGTTAGTATAAAGAGAGAGAGAGCAAGAGAGAGAGAGAGAGAGAGAGAGAGAGAAGAGAGGGGGGATGAGGGAAGAAGGGAGGAAATTGATGTCTAATATTATTTTAATTATGTTATCAAATATCCAATTATAGAAGTTTGCCTCTTTTATTACTTACCTGCATACTTTTAATTTGATTTTCTAATAATAACTAACTGATAACACAATAAACATGTTCGATCCAATTATAATTTCCTAGTTTTGGCGATGATTAATTTTGTCCGAAGGAAGAGACAAGCGGACCACTTATTTTTTTGGCTGTGCATTGCCGATGTTGTTGTAATACCTTTGATTTGTGTTTGCGTGTGTGTGCATAGAAAATTGGATTGGTTTCCTTATGTATGTGTTACTGCACCTTTTTTTGTTTCATAATATTAGCGCGCATACAAATACATCAGATATTGGATATAAGTATAATAAGAGAGAAAATAAATATTTTGATGGAAAAGATTGGATCTTTGGCTTTTTTTATGAGGGCTTTGATTGATATCATTCAAATATCAAATTATATTTATGAACTATTTTTATATCTAAGTGAACATCATCACTATTGTTATTATTGCTCAATCATCACTTTAAACAAACCAGTTACGTTTGTTTTTTTTAAAAAACATGAAAAACTGGAATAAATGTGATGAATAGGAAAGAAATGAGGCTCTTTTAAGGTTCATTGTAGTGTGGCTTGAAGAATCGTGTGACGAATTCATTTTGATACTTTAGTCATTTGATTTGTAATGATATTTGATTTACAGCATAATAAAAAATGATGAAAATTATCTGCAACACCAGATCGAACATTTTTGTTTGTAATTGTAGCCGAGGTCGTAATCATGAAAACGAAGATGAGAAAGAATTTTTTTGTTACTAAATTAATTGATTTCTAATAATTTGAATTTTGCAATTATGGTATGGGGTACCCGCGTGTTTATAGCGTATGTATGGTGCACATACCGATACATGCGTACTTGCAGGTACAGAGTGCATAACATGTTCATGTATTATGCGTATGTAGATAAAAGATCACACAGTTCGTTGTTTTTTCCACTTGGATGTTTCATATTTTGATAAAATAAATGGATGGGAAAGGACGATGAACTTTTAATTTGATCACTTACTTTGCTTTTGCTTGTCTATCTACTTATTGCCACATGAGCTCAATCATAGTATAAAAGGTAAGCCCCTGCATTGTACTAACCACCTTGACTTTTACTTGTTCATTATGACTGCTTCTGTCATGGTACACGAACCTATCACATAAGAGTCACAACTAATTTGTTTTCTCATTTATTTATGCATGTCTTATGGAGATGTCGATTTGTTAGATTCGTAGATAGTCCCCGATTTATAAAAGGAAATAAAGGAATCTTGCAAAAGAAAGCTAAATATAATTTGAAACATATCGATATTCTCTGGAATGAAATTTTTATTATAAGAAACAGACTAACACTTTTTTTCTACTTGGAACACGTGTTTTTATCTATAGAACTTGTTTGGTTATTTTTTTTGTCATTTGAATTTCAGCAAACTAACTTTGATGTCGATTGCTTGAAAATCAGATTTTGGAATTTTGCCCGAGATTCAAAGAGTTTTTTGGGATAAATGTCAATTTTTCTAGAAATTTGGTTATTTGTGTTGGTTTGATATATAATATTTTTACAATTTCTCCAAGAGAACATTAGAATTTGAAATTTGCGCTCAAAAATTGAGTATTGACAACTTTGTTACTCATGTGTTTAATCAACAATCAAAACCAAACCCAATTTGCTATTTTGTTTTCCAAAATCGATAAACAATTACTGAATGTTGAAAAACTACAAATAAGAAATTGATTTAAATTTTCTCCTATAAATATAACTAACAAATTAAACTTCTTATATAATCAAAGTATAATAATTATTTGAACTATATTAATTTCAAAGCTTTTAATTATAACAAGATTATTATAGAACATTTAAGTCTAAAACGATTTAAATAACGCATACAATTGTATTTAATTAATAAATAGTTTATTATTCCCTTTTATAATATCTTCGAATGCCTCCATGGCGCAATCGGTTAGCGCGTTCGGCTGTTAACCGAAAGGATCCTGGTTCAAATCCAGGTGGGGGCGTAAGATATCTATTTTTCACCACATAGATATGTTTACGTGTTGTTCAATAAGAATTCGTAGAAATAAGATTAATAAGGTAGTGAGGGTTTATTTTTTCTGTTGTTTCGAACTCAACGGCCCGTTGATTCAGACTATGCATCTTCATCTTTTTATAATTTAAGTAGAAATGCGGTACAAAATACCTTGTTTCGACGAAGAAAACGCACACAATCCATTATACGTTTACGATTTTATAAAATAGTTCGGTGTCAACTTGCTTTAAATGTTTTGCTATTTCTACAAGTGTTTAAAAACAAATCAATTAATTTGTCATAACAGAATACCCAAATATCTTAATAACATCAACAACAGACTATCGTTAAAAATTCTGGTAATTCGCGACCAGCTGTGTCAAGCGTAATTAGGGATGAATTCACAGCTAGGGTTAGTACGCTTGAATGTCTTTTTATTCTTGGTGTAGTGAACATAAATTGGGGATAAGAATTTATTCGGAAGGTATAAAGTGACAATTTAAATGTGATTTATTTCTTTATTTTATATTAATTAACAGAGCTATTATTTTCACGTAATGAAATCAAAAATGGAAAAGTAGTTGTGCAAATTACGTATTACGATTCATTTAAAATTTTTTTCGGGTTCTTATTAAAATGACGAGTAACAGAGATTGGTTATATACGTTATTTTAAATACAAATTAATCATTAATATATAAATTAATTAATTAAATCAATTAATATAGCATATAATGGGTGAGTTTACCAGAAACAACCAGTTATATCATGAAAAGTTAGAAAAGATTTAAATTTCTATTTATTACTTCCTGCTACAATTATGTGAAAAATAGAGATAATAACGGACGTGTTTTTATCTTTATCTTGTTATTAATATCACAAAGTACGTTAACATAATAATATTTTGTGGAATTTGGTATTAAAAATGGCGAGTTGGAATTTTTACAAGTAGGTACAAAGATACTCTTGATATAACGACCCTTCGATATAACGAAGTCTAATTAAAATCGCGATATAATGAACTTGAGTTCAGGAACAATTTATTATAAACCATATAATAATTCCGCTCGATAAAATGTATAATGAAGTTTTTGAAATTTTTACATATAGACCCGACTACTTCGTTATATCAAGAGTGGCTTTGTAATAAAAAATTATTCCTAATAAGCAAATTTGAAAATAATTTTATGAAAATATATTTTATAATATACAGTGGCGACCAAAAGTAATGACTCAGGGGCTAAATTTACTAATAAAACATAATAAAAATTAAAATTTGCTCTCTATATTAAAATTTATAATTTTAATAAGAAATAATTTTTATTTTTATATTAAAATAAAGCTTATTAATTTTAGTTTAACATATATTTTTTTCAGATTTTTTAGATTTTTTTAAAAGATTTATTTTAATTATAAAGTTAATATAAAATTTTTACTAATTAAAAATAAAATTTATTAATAAAAATTTTTATATTAAATTTATAATTAAAATATTAAACTTTTTATTTATATTTTAATAATAAAATATTTAAAATTTTTTTAATAATATAAGAAATAATATAAAATAAAAAAATTAAAATTTAAAATTTATTATAATTTAATAAAAAATTATTTTAATAATATATATTAATATTTATAAAATTTATTTAAAATTATTTATTAAAAATAATTAAAAAAATTTTATATATTTAATATATAAAAAAGTTCTATAAAAATACTTTATAAAAATAATTTAATTATTTTTTTTATTATAAAATAAAAATTTATTATAATTTATATTTTTAAAATATTGATTAAATATAATAAAAAAGAAAAATATTAAGCTTTATTTTATTATATAATTTTATAATTAATAAAATTTATTAATAGATTTATAAATTT